GAGCCAATTTAAGAAGCCCATATTTATGATTTTATTTCTCTAGAAGCACTCCTGGTACCAAAATGTGTTAGACAGGGTTCTCTAGAGAGATAAAATCAGATTGCTATGGTTTCTGTTATGCATGGTTGATGATCTTCAATTAAGACAACAACAAAATTAAGCTTTTCCTCAAAAATTGACTGGACTGCTACAGCAGCCTTCCTCTTCAATATTGTCTCTTCCCTTCTTGATGTGAATTATTCATTTATTAACTGCCTTGAGGGGAAGTTTATTGCTCCATACATTTTTTATAAAGCATCAATGATTTCATCATTCTTCCACTCAAGCTTCATCATAAATTTGATGTCTGTTTTTACATTACTAGGGCTCCTTAGGGATTAGTTAATTAAAGGTTTGACCAGGAAAGCCCATCAATTATATTAAAAATATACAAATGGCCCTTGGCAGAAAAATGTTCTCTCTCCCTACAATTATTCTTATAAAGAGCAGATAGCCCCATCATTCTCTCATAGAGCAGCTATGGTGGGTTTGAGCCACTAACCGGGCAGTTGGCTGTCTAAAGTTTGCCTACCAGGACACGTTAAGTTCAACTAGTACTACACAAACAGCCCTGGAGATGTAGTGGTTACATGTTGAGCTGTGATCGGCATGGCCAGCAGTTTAAAATTAACTGCAGTTCCTGGGGAGAAAGCCTGGGCTTTCTACTCCTATAAACAGTTACAGCAGTGGTTCTCAACCTTCCTAATGCCATGACCCTTTCATACAGTTCCTCGTGTTATGGTGACACCATAATTTTGTTGCTGTTATGAATTGGGCAACCCCTATGGGAGAGTCATTTGGCCCCCAAAGGGGTCGCAGTCCACAGGTTGAGAACAACTGAGTTGAAGTCTTGGAAACCCATAGTGGGTCACAATGAGTCAGCATTGACTAGATGGCACTGCCTTGTTCTTTCTTTCTTTTTTGGGGTACTGGACAAAATAAATGGAGCAGGAAGGCACTTAAAGTCAAGGGCATGCCAAACAGCAGCTGCAGGTTTCTGGGGAAGAAGATAGGAAAGCATCAAATCTTGACAGAGTGACCACCTGGCAGGCATTTGGACATCATCCTAAAGGTTACAGTGAGTTAGCTGAAGAGATTTATTCCAATAACTAAGTTTGATACTCATGATTATGTTTGTATTTTTGCACTTATTTTGAAAAAAATTAAAACCTAAAAAAGTGACAAAAATAGTATAATAAGCATTGGTATATCCATGATCTATAGTTTCGTCTCTGATTACCATTTCACTACATTTACTTACTCTCGTCTGTTATATAGACAGTATTACTGTACTGAATCATTTGAGAGTAAGCTACAGACATCCTGATCCTTCCCTCTTCAGGACCTAAAGGTGTGCCTCCTTAACAGAAACATTCTCTTATGCACACACAATACTAAAACCAGAAAGTATTACAGATATGATGCTATGATCTGACATATACGGACAAAGAGTACTGCTCACACAGTTTCAGATCATGTAGGCCCACGTTTGTTAAAACAAACCATGGCTAAGCATGTCACTCTGAACATCAGATGGGTGTAGAAAAAGTTCCCCAAGTAATGCCTGTAGTTTTGTAAGGGTGTCTTCAAATAAAAGGCCCAATCAAAACAATGGCTTCTCAGGGGATCTGCTGGGCCAGTTCAATTCCAGGTACAGAGGTCAGCGCACACAATTATGGTGACTGTGGTACTTTTTGAATTCCAAAGGGGTAATCAATAGCTTTTATCCAAGGACACAGGAGGATCACAAGGGCTTATTATAAAGAAGACTTAAGAAAACTGAACAGCAGTGTTAGTGAGAACAGGGCCAGGAAAGCTGAGCTTAGCAATGATTTACCATCCCAACAACCCACCGCCTCCTTCTTGAGAGAAGGTAGGGCTATCTTGGGGAAATTTGGTGGGAAATCTGACTTCATACACCATACAGCCCTGATCCTGCCCACTTATTCTTAGAGTGTTTAAAGGAATACACTACAAATCTCTTACGGATTCCAGGACTGCCATTTTGACATGGTGTAAACCAAAGAATGCAGAATTGTTTGGAGAAAGGTTTTGAGATATAGAAATGCCACATTAAAAAGTATATAGACTTGTACAGAGGACATGTTGGCAATTTATATTATTCCCTAATAAAGGTTTCTATGATTTTTGTCATCTGCCAATTGGACATTCTGTGGTGGCTTGTGTGTTGCTGTGATGCTGGAAACTATGCCACTGGTTTATCAAAGTGCCGTGTTACCCACGGTCAGCAGGTTTCAGTAGAATTTCCAGAAAAAGAACAAACTAGAAGGAAAGACTAGGAGGACACCGGCCTATAGGGCCACCATGAGTTATAAGTGATTAAATGGCAGATTTTTTCTCTTGGTTACGGGACGGTGTGCAATCTATACAGAGACGACAACAAGCTGGATAGTGCAAAGCCAGAACACGGCCTGAGAAGAAGAGAAAATAAAAAAGAAAATTGAAAAAGCACATATATGGAAGATGTGAGGGCTACTTAGAATGTAAAAATTCTAAGACTTCTTAGCAATTTTCATAAATATGAAAAATTTTCATGAAAAATTCACAAATATTTTGAAGGCCTAAATTTTTCTTCATATACAATAAAATTTTCAGAATACATTGTAATGTATGTAAGTCGGTGGGTAACTTATGTTAAAGGTTTCAGAAGTGAGGTTGGCTCCAGGGTGCTTGATAATACAAACTAACCTTTCTCTTGAGAGTTCTGTGCACAAGTGGAGAGGTCATGCCATCTTATAAGAAGACTGGAGCATTTTCATCTTAATAAAGGAAACTGAACTCTGGCAAACCCATTTTGGGTTTCAGAACATCTGAACCTCAATTTAATGAACTGATGTCATCACCAGTCAGTTGATGATGACTCACAGTGACCCTATAGGACAGAGAAGATCGTCTCCTGCGGTTTCTGAGGCTTTACCTCTTAAGCGGAGTAGAAAAACCTCATCTTTCTCTTGTAGAATTGCTGGCAGGGTCGAATGGCTGTCGAATGTGTCCAGTCAAGCACATAACTCTCTAGGCCACTAGGGATCCTTATTTATTGTACAGTACCACTTATTTCTGGCCCCATTTAAAGATAACAAATTGGAACTTCCTGCTGTTCAATTCCTAATAAAGATGAATTGATCCTTGAGGAAAATTCCAACTTCATGTAATTTGCACTGTTCAAATATATCTTTGGATCAAAGGACATCATGTGAAGTATAATTTGACTTAAATATTTAGCACAACACAAATTACTTTAAATAAAGCCAGTGTGCACTTCCTCTCATCTTAGGCTAGCTAACATTACATAAAAATATCCTGATATTTCCTTGGTGAGCAGAGTGAAGAGTGGTATACAGTACATGTTCTATATTGCAAACACTGGAGCTGACAGAGGAAAACAAGTGCCTATTTTTGAAGTCAGCAGGTCAAATTATCCCAGAAACAAGTCTAACCTTTGAGGCACCTAGATGTGTTTTGGTCAGTGTAATGGCAGTCAGCTAGCTTCAATAAAGATTACAATGTGAAAACTCTACTGGGCAATTCTACTCTGTCCTATAGGATCCTTAAGAGTTGGGATAGATTTAATGACTATATATATATGATATATTGTACTGATTATATATATATATATAAAATCAGTACAATAGTTATAATGATATTGCTCTCATAAAGACATTGTCAAATCTATGAATCAACATATAAAAGAACATATGAAACATGAAGTAACTGGTACATAATCAGGGTTATATGATTATAACTAATAGTTTTCATATTATTAATCCTGATAGAATAGAAAGGAATACATGGATATAAAGGCAAAAAAGAAAGGTGAGAACCAGAGGACACCGAATGGAACATTTCTGCTTGTTAGGAGTACCCTGCAATAAATGTGAAACAGAAAATCTAAGAGAAGAAAAAGAGGATTTAAAGAAGCATTGATAAATGGATTCCTATCCTTTCAGGATTCTGAGATTGCAGTGAAAATACTTTTTAATTTATATTTTATTATGTTTAATGTTTCTAAGAGTATAACCTCTATTAGTAATGTTCTTAAGATAGAATAAACTGGGTACATTTACAGTAGAGTAATTATGTAATTGTTACCTCCACCACAGGGTTTGGAACACGGAGACCAACTCTTTAAAGCCCACTCAAAAGTATCTAATTCTTCCTGGATGACATTGTTGCTGTTGATTGTAGGTACAGAGTCTTCATGGATGATGTATTTATAGGTCAGGCTAGAGCGGGTATCATTTTCCTGAGGTATAATCTAACATAAACATGAAACAGATGTATAAATCAACTTAGTGTTTATTTTTGAGTGAAAATTAACCAATAATTAAGTTTTTTAAAATTTTTATTAAAACTGGAAAACTTTCCAATAGTTTCTAAAAACAGTGTCTTTATTTTTATTAGTTGATGTTCAAGCATGCAGGAAAAAAATGCAGACATATATACCTTTGACCATGAAATGTATATATAAGTATTAAGACATTGCACTATGAAAATAGGATTTTATAATAAGATTCAATATAGGGTTCCTTTAAGGTATAGCATATTTCCGTGTATTTAAATTACTTGTTAAAATTATTTTGTAATGATAATACAAGTAGTAACACTTCTCTAAAAAATTATGAAAAAAATAAAAATCTTTATCTTGTTTCATACCAGAGAAAACCAGTCATTTCTGCGGTGTTGGGATGGACTATGCATGCATCTGTATGTGTATGTGTTTGTGTTCAGACATACCTATTTTTCTGACCTTGCTTATTTAATTTGTTATACACATTTCCCAGGAAAGTATATGTGTTTTGAAAACATGATTTTAAATCTCAGTATAATCTTTCATTCTAAAGGTAGTATGCATCATTAACCCATTTCATTATTCCTCAATATATTTATTGATGAGAATGTGGGATTGGTTAAGAGCTTGGCTGAACCATTTGAAGATTGGTCGTTCTCCTATGGCCTCTCCACATGAGAAACATGTGCTCGTCTGCTTCCACAGAGATCACGGTCTTGGGGACCCTATGGGGTCTGTTTGACTCTGCTCCTTAGGGTTGTTATCAGAATGGCCCTGACAGCCGTGAGTTTATATACTTTTTAAATGTCCCACTAGAATCATACCAACTTCATACATAAAGTGCATCATTTAACGTTGTACGTGATTTTTCTTCTTTGCTAACTGAATGTGTTTTTATTTAGTTTCACTCAGTATTTTTATTTAGTTCGCTGATAATCAAGTTTAATTTCTTAAGCTTATTAGCATTGTATTTTGTCTACTGCACACTGCATGTTCATGTCTTCTAGTCCTTTTAAATTGGTGATTGCCTCCCAGTCATTCAGGCATAAAGTAATCTAAATAATTTAGACACACACACACACACACACACACACACACACACACACACACACACACAAGAGGGCACCCCCCAAATCTCGATGTGATGTGAAGGGGATTGTGCATTTGGAATTTGTTCCACAAGGTCAAACTGTTAATCAAGCTTTCTATTTAGAGATTCTGAAAAGATTGCATAACAGTGTGTAACAAAAACAGGCCTGCATTGGGGCAGACAGGGGACTGGTTTTGCCACCACAACAATGCACCTGCACATGCAGCCATCTCAATGTGTCAGTTTTGGGCAAAAAAAACATCATGCCCCTCTTGCCTCACTCAGTTTACTCACCTGACCTCACTCCGTGAAACTTCTTTTTGTTTCTGTAAATAAAGAGGGACATGAAAGGACAGCAATTTGATGACTTAGAAGAGGTGAAGTAAAAAATGAGGGAGGTGCTGTCACCCATCCAAACAAATGAGTTTGAAAAATGTTTCCAAGAATGGAATTACAGATTTGACAACTGCATTAAGTGTAATGGAGAGTATTTTGAAGGTGATAAGGCTGTTTTTTTAAAAAATAAAATAAAATACATAGCTTTGGGACAAAAGATCTGTTTTTTGGGGGGGGTACCCTTCATGTGTGGTATATGTATATATAGAGAGCTATCCTATGGAACAGAAGATCTAAAAATAAACCAACAGAAATTAGGAGAATTAAGTTTTGACTTGAGCGAAAAGGTTATTTAATCAATAACTGATAGTCCTTTTAACAAATGGTGTTAGAGTAATTGGACATTATGGCAGCTTCAAGAAGATCTAAGCCCTCTTGGATGCCTCTCCTCTTACAAAGCGTAGCATGGCTCCCCACACCTCTGTGTGGACTGGACTTACTGCCTGCCTTCGAGCAGGTAGACTGTGGTTGAACTGATGGGATGTCACTTCCAGGACACATTGGAAAGACTGCCTTTCACCTTCAGTGTGCTCTCTCAGTTCCCTGCCTCCGCATTGCAGCCGTTACGCTGTTCTCTGAGGGAGTCATGGGGGAGGTGGGTCAAGTCAACTGGCTCCCATGGTAGGAGTGCTTTGTGGTGAGAAACTAGACCTGCCAACCAACCCGTGAGAAAGAGATGGAAGCAATCTTCTGAGGCCTTTCCACATCCACATCACTGAGTTGGTAGTGACTCCCTTTTAGTGTAGCCCCGTGTGGCTACAGCTGTGGGTGATGGCTGACTGCAACCAAAGGAGGCACTCGGAACCAGAAGGAGTCAGCTAAGCTGTTTCCAGATGGGTGATCCACAGAAACTGTGAGCTACTCAGTGCGTCTGGTCTTTGGCTAGCATGTGTAATTTTCTGGGTAGTCAGAGGTAAGTAGCACAAAGATGTATAGACAAAGATATGAACTTACATTTATATAAGATGGATACAAAAATTAACTTGAAATAGTTTATATATCTAGACGTAAACTATACCATTCTACCCAAACGAGCAAATAAACAATAACAACACAAAAAGAAAGAAAGAAAACATTTTGACCTGGAGCTAGGCAAAGGTTCTTATAAGACACAAAAAGTTTGATTCATAACAGATCAAAAATGGATAAACTGGACATAATTTAAAAATTCAAAATATTTTTGTATGAACAGTGCAAATAAGAGACTAAAAAAACAAAACTAAACCCAAGTTATGCATTGGGAAGAATATTTGTAAGTCACATTTTTTCACAGAAGACTTACATTGATTACATTTTAAAAATTCTCAAAACTTAATAAAAAGAAAACAATCCACTTAAAAAATGAACAAAAGATTTGGACTAACACTTCACCAAAAGGAAATATTTCTCAAAGAGAGAAAAAAAAAAAAAAGCTTGGAATTGAGTTGGAAATTTTGAATTTTGATTAATGTAATATCTTTTATAGAGAACCTTATAAATATTTGTGTACTTGATCCAACAATACATTTCAAATCAAGTAGAGAATAATGAATTTGCAGTCATGCCATCATAAACTATAAAGCTGAGCAGAATATATGAGGTAATTCTTTCCCAGGATAACGATCCCAGTGAGAAGAGAGACGTTTGGATGGGGGTTAGTTACTGGACCATAGCATTGGGAGGAGTCCAAACCAAGCTTAACAGTTTCACTGATGGAGATCATAGCAGTTAGGAACTTGCGAGGCAGGATACAAAGGAAGGGAGAGCTGCACAGAGAGCTGGCCTAGACGTCGTAGGGCTGGTTTGTGTGCCCCCAAGACAGCTTGCAGAAGCCTACCCGTGACTGGCTGCTGAGGAGATGATGGTGGGAGAGATGCAGGTCTGTCAGGTGTGAGACTTGGATTTTTAACCTGACCAGGAGAGCGATCCCTCACTAACAATTCCCTTATTTAGTTAAGACATCAGGATGGTTATGCCATACGAATTTTTTAAAAATTGAAATAGACTGACAGATAAAACCAGGTCACACGGAATCAGTAGGTGTTGGGTGTCATCGAGTCCATTCCAGTACCTAGTGACCACATGCACAAGAGTACAACTTTCCATTGAGCTGTCTTAGCTATAACGTCTTGGGAGCACATCCTTAGTTCTTTTTCCCCAGAGTGGCTGGGTGGGTATGGAATGCCAATCTTTCTCTTGGCAGTGAAATGCTTCACCATCTAGACTACCATGTGCCCTTAGACAGGATCAGAAGAACTGCCAATGAGTTAGCTTCCTGGGAGAACAAAACTGAAAAGTCCTTATGGCAATATAAACCAAAAACCCTACCACTTATTATCCACCAAGATCATTGTACAAGAAAAACGCTAAGGAGAAAAATGATTACATACGACATGTAATCAAGTATTTTTTTGAAGGGAGCCCATAGACACAGAGACCATGAAGACCTGGGGCTTAAAGGAAAAGTTAGACAAAAATGAGTGAATATATGTGAAATCTTTGTAAAGAAACAGAAATTAGGAAAAAACTCCATAAGAGAAAAGCACACTAGCTATAATAATTATAAAACAAATTGCGTGGGTAGGCTCATGGCTGATTAGGGATACATGAGAAAGAGTTAATGAACATGAACAAAGGACAATAGAAATCTTTCAATCGAAAGAAAAAAAGGGAAGGGAAGTTTGTAAAAGAGTGATCAGCATCTAAGGGTCTAGGGAAACAATCTTATCAGTCTTAGTATACACCTAAATTCATCCCCAATGTAGACGCATGGTCAAAAAGACCTTCTGAAAACATAATGGGGAATTAATCCAAATTTGGAAAACACATCAATCTACCGAGTCAAGAATTAAATAAAAAAATTAAACAGCTAAACATATTTGTTGTCCAAAATAATCCTTTAAAACAGCCCAAATATAACACATTACATAACAAAGCAGGACTATAAAGGAGCCGGATTTCCCATCAAAAGCTATGGATTGATTCTAGGAGAAAATGTAACAATATCTGTAATAGGCTCAAAGGGAAAAACAAACAAAACCAATCCCATTTTATACCTAGTGAAGCTATCTTTCAAGTTTGAGAGGGAAATAAAAACATTTTTAGATCATTGAAAGCTGAAAGAATACACCCACACAAGGACAAAAGTGTGAAAGGAAGTTGCTTATTCTAAAGACAGGTGTTTTCAGATGGGAAGTTAGATCAACTGGGAGAAGTGGAAAGCACCAGGAACTGTAAACAGCTGGGTAAGCACAAACATCTATTTTTCTTCTCTTGACATCTTTAAAACATAATGGATTGCTTAAGTTGAACTAAAATATTCGCCTTAGGTTTATAATGTATGTGAAATAAAACATATGGCAAAAGGGCACAAAGAATAGACAGTGGATAAATGAACTTATAAAAAGCAATGAAAAAAATTTTAAAGCAACAACAGTAACAATGTAAAAGGTTTCAGTTGAACTAGCTGTGAAATTACAAACTAACCCAAGTACATACTAAGCTCACAGGGTCACATACCAACACAATAACGGGGTCGTGCAAGGGTCCATCGGTGTGAAGAGTTTCGATGTCCTCATCAATGTTATAGTCCCATTCCACACCAAGATCTATGAAGGTCTGAGACCTGGCTTCCTCCCCTTTGCCATTTAAAATATAGTGGCCAGTCGCCTGGTTCTTAATAGCTAAAGGAGGAAAAATAGTAGCCGGCATATATTTTATCTTTTCACATGACAGATCGGAAGATCCAGATTGTCTATCATAGTAAAACGGTTCCTTTTTATTTAGCATCAGAACAATCTAATGAATGTTAGGTCTGATAAGACTCCCATTTCTTTAATTAAAACCTTTCAATTCGCATTCCTAACTAGTCAAAATGAAAAGGTGTTTAAATGAGAAGAAAAATATATTAGCACATATTCCCAGTTTGAAAACATTGTAAAAGAGTTTGTAACTCATCTGCATTCTGTACGTTCCTCAAAAGGTAAGAATTTAGAAGCAGTAGACACTTCTCCAGAAATTAATATAAAATCCTCATATTAGACTAGCATATAAAATAACAGCACATTACTGTGTACCTCTTCCATGCTGGTTAAAGCACTTGTAGGCACATAATAGAGTTGAACTCATTTGTAAGTGATTGGACAATTTAGCTCTTATAATTGTAAAATTCCAAGACCATAACAGCTACTTATATCACTAGAAAAAGCTATTAACTGTTGCTAGAATTCTTAAGGTATTACATATTAACTATATATTCTGAGATAAAAATCTCCCTTTAATCAATTAAAAGTAATAAATGGCACTTAAAATATTGGAGCTGTTTGTCAGGATAGAATGGTAATTTAGAAAAAAACTGCAATAGAGTCATTACTATACTAAAAATAGTTAGAAAACATACTTTTAACTACTGTATATACTTGAGTATAAGCCGATCCGAATATCAGTCAAGGCACCTAATTTTACCACAAAAACTGCATAAAAAAATGTGCTGAAAAACTCAGCTTTTACATGAGTACATACGGTATCTAGAACTACCCACCTTAATTTAGTCTGAATTTTGCAAAATTAACAATGTGCACTCTTGGTTGAAGATTAAGGCTTTAAATACTAGAGACAGAACTATGTTATGTCACTAGCAGTGAACACAATCTAGAAGATATTCAAAATACCACGAATTTACAAAACACCATAAAATAATTAATATATCTAAGGTAATATGGGAAAAGAAATAATTAGCTACAGAATTTCATGGAGTTGACAGATAAGACCTTTCTTTTTATTTGTTAAACGCACCAAGGGATCTATGGGAGTTATGGTTACACTTGTATGTGCACTTCCAATACAAATCCCTGTAAGACAGCATTTCCACATGATCCTCTCAGAATGGGGAAAAGGATCTCATTTGAAAGATCTAAACAGCCATGCAAACAGATCTGCATGTGTCAGTCAAAAACCTTATGTAAGTTAGATATTAGAGAAACATTCAGTATTGGACTTCTAAAATTCACATGACATGTGTGTTTGCTCTTCAGCCAAAGAAGTAAAAATGCAATCAAAATCAGGAGAGGCATATATTGTAGCATCAGCCAAAATATCAGAACTCATTGGCCAATAAAAGTATGGCAAATGTTTCTGATATTATTCCTTAATTTATTGCATTTTATTAGCATATGTATTTTTCAGCAGTCCTTAATACAGAGGAAAGATAGATAACAAATTTAAACTTTTCAAATGTTTCTTCATTTTCCTCATATATTAATGAAGAATCACTGGATTCACCCCACATGAAAACTTCAATTTTGCACACTTCTTGTCTCAAAATAAGAGTTGAGATAAATAGCAAAACAAAACAAAAATACATTATTACATAACTGCATGTATCTGTCATTTTAATGATTTGATAGATATGTATGTGTACGTATATACAGATAGGTGCATATATATACATGTCTACACATACATATATATCAATAACTCGCATGTACGTGGATGATAGAGCAGGGCCAGAGGACGGAAGCACTTACCAAGAATATGAGGAGAAGCCTCGTCTTCTTGGATTAACACATGTCTAGCACCAGGGGGTACATCAAACATCTTAAGGTACCCTTGGCATGCGTAGTGAAAATTGGAGGAAGCAAAAAACAAAAACAAAGCAACAACCATGGTTAGGAGAGCACTCACTACATAACTGCTCCACAGTGCAAAGAAGACATCCATAAAGGAAAAGAAGCCGTGGCAGAAATGTGTTCAAAGCCTTGGTAGTTTTTGTGATACTGGCTTAAGACCAAGTGTACTTTTTTTTTTAAATCCGGGGGTGGACGGGTGGAGGTTAGTTTGGTATCAAATGGTTATACAACTATATTGTTTCCATCTGACTTCTTCAGGTGTTTTATCTAGGAAGGGCCACTGTGCTGGAATCCGTGTGCTGGCCGGTGGTTTGGGTTTGGTAGAGTCCTTTCATAGACTAAGTGACTGCAATCGAAAACCAGACTTATAATCAGTGTTTTCATACTGAAAACAGCCGAAGTCTAAAGAAATTACAAAAGACTAATCAGTACCGTAGCTGGTTTTTCTTGAGATTGGCTTACATAAGCTATACAATGCAAATATTTGTAAATGCATGCTGTGGAAATGGCCATTGAGTCTCCCCCACACACATTATGATCAATGCTGAAACACAATGGGAAGGGTTTCCAAGGTTGTAACTCTTGGACGGAGACTGCCACCACTTTCTCCCACAGTGGTTTCACTCCAGTTGGTGGACTCAAACTGTGAACCTTCTGGTTAGCACCTGAGCGCTTTCACAGCCAGGCCACCCAGACTTGTTGATCTGATCGACTTGTTGATCTGACCAAATTATTTGATTGGAAATGGCCTGTGATTTACATTGTGCATTGCATTTACATCTCCCTTGACCTCAGCCTTCTAAGGAAGAATTAATAAATACTATATGCTTAAATGGTTGTCTTTGGTTTTAAAATCATATGTCAATTCGATTGTATCTTATAGTATATGTGACAAAGCCTTACTAGTATTATCATATCTCCTAAATATAACCGTAGGATACTTACAATTAAGCTAATGACAAACCACTGCCATCTAATCCACTCCAACTCATCGTTAACCTATCTATAGCATTTCCACGGTTGTATGTCTGTACAGGAGCAGACAGCCTTTCTTCCTTGGGAGTGGTTAGTGGGCTTGTACCCCTGACAGTCCAAATGCTTATCAAACAGCAACACCAGGGCTCCTTTGTACAAATAATATTAACTATAAAATCATTAGTAGATTATGTGAGGAAACCAAGATATCATCTCATTTTTTTTACCAAAAACTCAATGTAAGATGATTTCTAACTTGTACCTTTGATGCATTATGAAATTTATATACTACTCTACTGGAGTTGACATTTTGGTGTCATGGGTTGTCAGCACTTTAGCCCGGGGTGAAGTCCAACATGTGAAATATACCATGTCTGTCTATGTCTGCAATGGCCAGTAGTAACATGCTAGTAGTCAAGTGCAGCAAAACAGCTTGATGCCGTTTATGGATGCCCGTCTTCTGCAGTCTACAACAACTTACCCAGTACATTTTTAGCTTCCCTTGTTTCAGCAAGAGAAATATTGCGAGCTCCTTTGGGTAAAGTGAAAGCGCCTCTCATCTTCCCTTAAATAGAATGTTTTTAATTAGTGGAGATTTCATGTTTATCAAAGTCTTGCTGGTTCATTGACTATATTGTATGTCATCTATATTTTAAGGTAAGATACAAAAACTGTTTTCTGAACGTTAAATCAAAATTGCAATAGTTAAATCCATTGCCACAGAGTTCACTCTGACTCACAGTGACCCTAAGGTCAGAGCTGAACTGTCTCCTAGTTTCTGAGACTCTCAATCTTTATGCAAGCAAGTTGTCCAGTCTTTCTCTACAGATTGGCTGGTAGGGTCACACCACTGACCTTTTGGTCAGCAGGTCAATACATAACATTATAACAGTTGGCTAATATCAATAAATTATTAATAGTCAATGAAAGTAAGACCAAGCATGACTACGAAATGATGTAGGTGATGGGGGTTGAATACTTGCAGATTTCATTTTCCAGCAACTTGAATTCTTTTTGGCACCTCTTGCTTAATTGTTTTCCTGTTGGAAAAGGTTAATTAGTCTGTTGAATAACTGTGAGGACAGTATTATTGAAGAATAATGGATAGTGGGTTAACTTGGACTAGTTTTGAGAGATATGGTGGATGAAACCATTACTTTTGACCCTTGATGCACAAGGTCAGCATCATGTGGGTGGTTTCTGGAACAAAACAGTGTCGTTATCCTGTAGTACACATAGCAGAGAAAAAATGATTACAGCCCCAAACGTTATCCTTCTATTACTTCACCCTGGAAATAAAGGGAAATGCACGATTCTTACCCAAAAGAAAAGAATATATAATTCCAACAAAGAAAAATAATCTTTGCTTTTAAAATGTTTTACAATAATTTTCAAGATATGAGGCAAAGCAACTACAAGAGAAACGATATCTATAATAAGGAATACCTAACAAGCACACATCAGAATATCGCCATCTGGTTCTGCTGTCCTCAATACAAGGCAAAGTGATGGGACTGGGATTGGCTCAAGCTGGGCAGCAGGAGGATTATGGTACTAGAAAGCCTTAAGGGAAGTATTCCACTTGGATACCTTTCTTATACTTTCTTTTGTTCTAAATGAAACATTTTCATTATGATATACTCCGAGTATCTTAAATTTCTTTCCTTTCTTTGTCTGTTGTTTTCTGGCACTTGATTAGTAACTGTGCTCTATCGAAGACATATGAGAGGGTTCGCAAGGGAGGCATGCCAGCTGATTTGCTATTATATGCTGACTGATCAGAAGCATTTGCCCAATAAATGCTGGGCGAATACTGAATAATACTTATTACAAATTCAAGAAGTATTTAGTAATAATAGCTGCTTCCAAATCTGTATGAGAATTTCAATGAGGAACTATAAGTATTTGAGCACGTTTGTTTATTATTTGTGTGTGCGGCTATCATTTACGCCAGCTGTGGGACCTTCGGTGTGTGCTGAAGTCTTAGGCACGGACTAGGTGACAAGTATACAATTCACACACATAAGAGCTACACAACAACAAACCAGCAAAAATGCATTGCCCAACTCATACAGACCCTATAGGACCAAGGAGAAGTTCCCCACAGGGTTTCCCAGAGTGTGAATCCCTATGGAAAGATATTGCCACATCTTACTCCCATGGAGCAGCCAGTGGGTTTGAACGAGCAACCTTCTGGTTAGCAGCCAAGTGTGTTCTTATGCACAGTTCTATCTCAGGTTAGTTTAGCTCGTAGCTCCATTTTTAACACAACTTGGTAAAGCTATGTGAAGATGAAGCCTTAATGTACAGATGTGCAGAAAGAATACATTTGTTCACTTTTAAAATAAAAGAAGATGAGTAAAATAAGTCAATCACAAAGGGATCAATATGAGGGAGCTCCAAAAAGTTTGTGGGACAAATTCTATTTGAAGCATGCAATAACTTTTTATAACTTGTATGCATATTATAAAAAGGTCAAGAAATGATTTTCACACTAAAAAAAAAGTCTTTGATGATTACCAGTGGGGAGGGGAAGGAAGAGGAAATCACTAAGTCAATAAAGGTTAAAAAAAATAGTAAAAAGAAATAAAGCTTAGGCAATATTTAAAACATCACATTTCATGTTTTTTGACTTTTAATACCCAATTCGCAATTTATTTATCAATGAAAATTCAAAATGAGTTATCAATTTTCATAGTTAGATCTATTATTTTTATTAAGAGCATAAAATGAGCACAAATGTTTGCTTGCTACAAAATAATTGATGTTGGTTTTACTTGTTCTTTAAATTAAGTAGCTACTTATCATCATAGACACTATTCAGAGTTTTGAAAAAGTTTCTTAGTAAGAAATGTAGATGAAAAATACATTTTTTTTGCTAATTGTTAGTGTTTACGGAGCAAATAATGCATTTCGTAAAGAAGAGGACCCAGAACGACCAAGCACAGAGAAGGCTTAAGGCAGTGCACAGAAACGTCGTCTTACCAAGCTTCCGTGGGGTTCTCGTGAATGTCCCCTTCACAGTTCGGCAATGGGAATTATCTCCTCCACAGACGCCACACTTGTCCTCAACCTTGTTGGAGCCAATTTCTTTATCACAGCCCACTTTCTGGGAAAAGAAGGCATTCAATGTGGCAACCTTCCGTGTGCCAAGTCAAGTTCGGTACCCCACAGAATGAAGAGACGGCTGTGCAATCACGTGCCAACGTGGAGTTTGCAAGAGACAGCCACTGTAGCCCTGATTTTAATATCTATTTGACATCTTTTAAAGAACCAGATTGAAGTCATGTGCCTTGTTCTCTAGGTAGTAACAAACAATTGTCCCCAAAGTACTCTCAACCCCATTATGCATTGTCATAATCATCAAACAAGTATTTATTGAGCACAGATGTTGGAAAGAATGAGTGTGGGGAAAAGATGCTGCTTTTCGCTTGCTGCTTTGACATTTATAAAAATGAAATTTAAACAGTGAATCATACATTTATTTTTCAGAAACCTTAGAATTTGGTTAGGGAGGAGCCAAACTTCATAGAGGTGGAGCCTTTGGTGGGTTCTTTAAGGAACACTGTGCAGAGGCATTTCGGGTATGTGATGAGGTTAAAATGGAGTCATGGAAGTGGTTTGCTCATGGGCAGTGGGTTCAGAATATAGTATTTAAAACATTATTGAGGGACATGGGAGTGCAGGAGGTAGAGGAAGGGAGGAGGGTTGGTCAACCTAGGGATAGGGAACAACAAATGGTTCAAAACCAACGGTAGGGAGGGGACGGGAGGACTGGTAGGGAGTGACCACGGTCAAGGCAACCATGAGGAACTACTGAAGCCAGAATGGACTGATCATGGTATTGGGACAGGAGGA